GTAAGGACTGAGATACAGAGAGGTTGTGGTGGGGGGGTGTGGTTGCACACACAGGCAGTGAGGAAGGAGGACTTGAAGTCTACCTACACTACGGGGATGCTGGCCTGGAGGGAAGGACTAGGAGGCCCCAGATGAGGGTCCAGCTGGCCCCTGGTCCTTGCAAGGCTGCAGCCAGAGTGTGATAGGCAGTGAAGCTGGAGCAGGGTCTGGACACAGAAGTGAAGACTGTGATCCCTGGGCTGGGCTCCACAGCCTTGGACACTGTCCAGCCCCTGCCATGTGGGGTCCCCCTGGCTGGGACGGGCAGTGGGGCAGGCTGGCCTCTCAGAGGTCTGGGATCCTCAGCCTCCCACTGCCTCCTGGGCAGCAGTGACTGGCCCCTCCTCTCCCTTCCTCCCCCACCCCGCACCCCCTCCCTGAATCATAAAACCAGACCCCAGTCCTGACTATTTCTCAATCCCTAAAAGCCCAGTTCCTGTGGGCAGCACTCGACGCGCCTGCCCCTCTCCTTTCCACACTTCAGGGGAAAGACGAGATCTTGCACAAGGTCCCCTGTGTCTGCCTTCCACCAGGGAAGCCTGACATGGAGCCTCTCCGCCTGCTCATCCTGGTGGCCGTCACAGGTAGGAGCCCGTCTTGCCGCTGGCCAGGCCTTCTCTCCTTCTCCTTCTTGAGTATCCAGTGGGTGGGTGGGCGGGCAGCCCTGGGCCCAACTATAAAGGCGGCTGACGTCCTCGGCATGGTCTGCACCCCGCTTTTCCCCACTCACCCCGCATTCTTCATACTCTCCCTCCCTCCCCGGGAGGAGAACCCACTGTCTGACTCTTCATGCACGCGGGAGTATGAGGGGCTGCTGGATTCTGGCCACAAAGAAAAGGAAGGAATTCTGATGGTGGTACCTCAGGCACTAGGTAGCAGTTGGGGGAAGTTTGGGGGGGCACTGGCAAGAGCCCCGAAGATGAGGCACCACTGGCCCCGGAGGAAGGGCAGGGTGGGAGGGGAGAAAGAGAGGGGGAAAGCAACCCGTAGCTGAGGATGTACATCTTGTGCTGACGTGAAGGTCCTCTAATCTTGTCTTCCAAGTCTCTTTTGCCATATGGTTGCGGATGGGGTAAGGGAGGACCAAGAGAGGGGAAGTCGAGGCAGAGGGCTCCGGACGATACCCCCTGCAGCCCCTGCCCTGGCAATAGACCACGCTTTAAGCCTATCTCCCCCATCCCAAGACGCGTCCCCAAAATAGCAGCCTCATGTCTCCCCCCAAAATAGCTCTGAGATGAGTCTCTCCTGAAAGGGGAACAAAGCCACAGAAATAGGGAAGCTGGGAACTGAAGGTCAGAAGGAGGAGATGGCAGAGCCAGGGCCCGCGTGGGCCGCTGCAGAGTGAGCACGAATGGCCAGGGCAGGGAGGCGGGTATCCAGCCCAGACCTGAGGGGGCCACCGGCCCTGCTCCCTTGAGACGGAGAGCCTGGAGGAGAAGTCTTGGTCCCATGTGATAGGGATAAAATGGGCGGAAGAGAACCGGAGGGAACTTCAAGGCCAACGTCTCTGGAAATAGGTCCAGAGAGGGACAGTTCTTTAAAAACGCCCAGCAAGTCCAACGGTGTTAAAGCCGGACTGGGGACCTGGGTTTCATGGTGGACTGTGCGCCTTCTCCCAACTTATACAGGAAGCTGAGCTCCTTAAGAGCAAGACTTCTGTCTCCTTGTTCACTGTGCACAGTAGGTGTTCAATAAACGTTTGGTGAATGAGCGAAGAGTGAGTGAATGTCTCCTCCCCAGAGCTGTCCCGAGCCCACAACACCACCGTATTCCAGGGCATGGCGGGCCGGTCCCTGCAGGTCCCCTGCCCCTACAACTCCTTGAAGCACTGGGGCAGACGCAAAGCCTGGTGCCGCCAGCTGGATGAAGAGGGCACGTGCCAGCGGGTCGTCAGCACCCACCGCTCGTGGCTGCTGTCTTTCCTGAAGAGGTGGAATGGGAGCACGGCCATCGTGGATGATGCCCTGGGGGGCACACTCACCATTACGCTGCGGAATCTTCAAGCCCACGACGCCGGCCTCTACCAGTGCCAGAGTCTCTATGGTGATGAGGCCGACACCCTCAGGAAGGTCCTGGTGGAGGTGCTGGCCGGTGAGTGGGTGGCTGACTGCACCTCTAGGCCACCCCTGGGCTGGGACTGTGTCTCCAAGGTGTGGGCACAGGGCCGCCCTCTCGACCACCCTGGGGAAACCCACGGTGCAGATCTTGCCCTCCCACTTGAGGGCCCCTGTGGATGGTCGTGCAGGTTACTCACTGCGCAAGGGGACCGCACTCCAGCCCTGGCGCCCCGCTCCAGGCTGCACTCCCTGCATCGCTTACAGGAAGGATTCTGGGCTCTAATTTGCACAAGGCACCCAGTGAGCTGCTTGCACTCCTGCCTCTCTCCATAACTTTATCCATTCGGCATCCAGTTGGGATGTGAGCACTGTACAGTGGTCCTTAAGGAGTGAGTGGTGGGAGGTTCGTTTACTCCCTCACCCAATTATCCAAAGGACCTGCAAACATAAATCAAGCACTGACCTGGTACAGAAAACAAGCCCTATGAAGGGACACTGCCTGTGACCCCGGGTGATGTGCTTCGTCTCTCCGGGCCTCCATTTCCTTATCTCTAAATGGAGATGATGATGTTTGTCCCGCTGCCCCCACAGGGCTCCCAGGGCGGATCAGTGAGGCGACAGAGTTAAAAATGCTTGGGGGTAAGTGACAGCCCACACCCCAGCCTCCTGCTGCTGAGCTGACCTGGGATCCTCATGCCAGGTGACACAGGGTGGCAGTGGGGGTCCCCCCCGCCCCAGGCTTTGCACAGGGATGCCCTCCAGGAAAGCCTTCTGCCTGTGTCTCCAGAACACTATGTATCCCAAAGGAGAACAAATCTGGGGGTTCGGGTCCCCTTTCTGACTCTCCCTCTTCTCAAATCCTCCCCCACCACATGGCCCCTTATGATGGAAATGAGCCATTCATCGAAGGTCTAAGGTGGGGAGGGGAGGGGAGACGGTTTGCCCTAGACCCAAACCCCATGGCCACCACTTCTTTACATGCAGAGGTGGCAGTAGGGGCCAAGGAGACACAGATTTTCAGCCCTATTAGGGCCTAAGCCTAAGCCAACTCCCAAGAGGGTGGCAGGAAAATAACATTATGATAATAATACTCCATGGCTGGTGTAGACAGCTTGACAGTTCACACAGAACTTTCAAATACATCCATTCATCCATTTGACCTTCCCAAAGACCCTGTGTGTTGGGGGTTGGGAGTTGTAGTTTCGGCACTTAGCCACACAGGATGATCTCACTGAATTCTGCAACACTATCACCCCACTTAACAGGCGAGGAGACCGAGGCTCAGAGAGGTTAATGACCTGATCTGCTCCAGGCCAGAGCCTAGGGGGCCTCGTGGCATCCAGATGGGTGCTCCCCACTGTGACTGGCTGCCTCAAGGAGGAGGGGCTAGAAGCTCATAGGCTCTGTCTCCCACAGACCCCCTTGATCACCTGGACCCTGGAGGTCTCTGGATCCCTGAAGAGTCCAAGAGCTTCGAGGAGGCCCAGGTGGAACGCAGCATGTCCAGGTACAGAGGTGGGGCAGACTTCCACCCTGCAGAGCCCAGGCATGGGATGGGGGCTGGGGTCCTAGAGCTACAAATCCCAAGGCAATTAGAGCATGAAAATGGGCCTGGAGATGATCTGTCTGAACACCCCTCCGACCAGCCATTGCGTGTTGGTGTGGCCCTGCCGGTTGTTAACATGCTGAAATTCTTTTTTTATACATAGCTGCTGCTCCAAGACTCCTGAATGGTCAGCCTCCCATCCCTTCCCTGGCCACCCTTGGACATCCCCACAACTCAGCAGTAATAAGGGTTTTAGGACAAAACTGGGACCCCATCCCCATACCTGCTCCTTTGGTAGGATCAGCTCTGATTGGTTCATTCCTGTGTACTGGTGTTAAAATACTGTTAGTATAACCATGGAGTGCACATGTGCGCGCACACACACACACACACACACACCCCAGACTATACTATTATGCACAGCAGGAAACTGCCCAGCAAGGGAAGGTGATGTGTTTAAATGCACTCAGCAGGTAGATCCGTATCTAGAACTCAGGTCTCCTGACTACAGGCTCCCTCAAGCCTCATCCCAGGGATGGTGCTGGGTGGGGAGCTATTCTAGGCCCCTGAAAGCACCTGGTATCTCCCCAGTCCTTCTCGGTGGGGAGACTCCAGTGTGTAGGCCACCCCAAGGTCTCCCTCATGTCCTCCTTGTGTCTTCAAGGGGTCTCTCAGAAGAGGATATCCCCTTTCCACCCACTCCCATCCTTTTCCTCCTGGCCTGCATGTTTCTGGGCAAGCTTTTAGCAGCCAGTGCTCTCTGGGCTGCGGCCTGGCATGGGCAGAAACTGGGCACGCCCCGGGCCGGTGGGCTGGACTGCAGCCGTGACCCAGGTTACCAGCTCCAGACCCTAACAGGTGAGCTTCCAGAGCGCAGTGGTGGATGGGGGTGGACTGGGCAGGGGTGGCGAGGTGGGGCTCAGAGGGGCTGTGTGAGCACGCGGTCGGTTGCAGGGCAGAGAGACGCGTGAGAGAAGACCCGGCATGGGAAGAGAGGCCCCGGGAGAGGTCTGCTGGGACCACCCCGGCCTGCACACTTGCCCCTCAGCCACCAAGACTCATGGTTCTGCTTTGGTGAAAGGTCACCCTGCCCACACCCTGCTTCCCCTGGCCCCTGGAAACAGAGGGGTGTGTGTGTGTGTGTGTGTGTGTGTGTGTGTGCAGGCACACCTGGGAAGTGGGAAGGACATTGACCAACTTGTAGGCATTGGTTATTAAACACTCTCACAAATAAATCCAAGACTTCTCGTTGGCTACCAGGCTAGGAGAATGAATCTGGACGAGGAAAAGACAAGAGGTCTGCCTCCTTGGGGCCTCGGGTCTTAGGCTACCGCGTCTCTCTGTTCTCCCCGCCTCCAAACTGCCCATCTTTTGCTTTTCCTCGCTCCCTTCCCTAGATCTAATTGCTGGATCCTGCCTCCTCGTCTGGGATTTCTCTAGCATCCAGGCTGCTGCCCCTCTCCTCCATTTGCCTCCCACCTGTCAGTTCCCGAGGATTATCGCGGCCCACCTCCCCCACCCGTCAGCCCATCTAACGCCCAGCTGACTCATCGACGCGCTTCCCCAGACCTCTGCTTTCCGCGTGTTACTTCCCCTCCAGGGGAACACCCACGGCTGGCCTCATGGAGTGCAGCATACCAGAGCCGGGAACTACTGGTCTGAGCCCCTCACTGCACAGAAGGGAAACTGAGGCTCGCGAGGGAAAGATGTCACCCCAAGTCCCCAGTAGAGCCTGGAAGTGCAAATTTCACTTCGTGTTCACGTTGCCCTTCCCTCTAGCTCCATCCTACTCATTTATTTCATGAGAAAATGGACATGTTCTGCGCCAGGTACCATTCTGAGAGCTGGAGACAAGCGAGAACCAAACAGGCGGCAAAGATTCCTGCTCACACAAGGTCCCCGGACCCGGGGAAGGGGAGGGAGACAGACACAATCAGTCAGCCAGATGGTATGCTGAAGGGCAAAAGTGCCCAGGAGGAAACGACCAATGAAGCCAGGCTAGGCGCACTGGGGGTGCACAAGGGACAGGGATGATGTCATTTAGAGGGCGACAGAAGGAATCTGCGTAGGAGAACCACATCAGAGGGAGAGGACCAGGCCAGAGGGACTCATCTCTCCCCGGGGCACACACACACACCACTGTGGCCCGAGTGAGGGGAGTGGGGACGCAGACTTGCCCAGGGAGGGCTGCGGGGGGAGGAGCCCATCCTCAGGCTTTCTGTCCTGGGCCTCTGTGAGGTGGAAGCCTGGGACCCTCTGTGGACGTGGCCACAAGTGGCAGCTTTGCCCCCCACCGTGGGCTTTCGGATCGTTGGGAAGGACCCCCGATGCAGCCCTCATGCCCAGCCTCATGTGCACACATCACTCCCCAGAGCCAGTCTTGCCCAGACCTGCTTGGCTCACTCCCCGCAGATGCTGGGCCGGGCTGTGTGTCCCAGGCCCTTAGACTCAGCCGCATGTGAAGCTTTCTCATTGTGTCCCAGGCACCGGTCTCCTTCCCGCAGACCCGAGGCACTGTCTAGCGGCAAAGATGCACGGCTCCCCAAGCCTGGCACGAGAACGTGTCTGCAGTTTCCCTGTTCTTGGGAGCTTGGCCTTTTCTCTTTCTTCCTCCCCCACATTGGAGACGTCCCCCTGGGGACTTGGATCACCACTGGGATCCCCTGCCTTGGACTCTCTGGGGTGCACACTGGACTGAAGGGGGGATCAGGTAATTTAGTTTCAAATTTAAGCTTTGCCTCCTACTAAGAAACCTGAGCCCCATGGTCCTCATCTAATAAAAACGCAGAACAGGGGCACCCGGGTGGCTCGGTCAGTGAAGTGCCTGGCTCTTGATTTCGGCTCAGGTCATGATCTCACGGTCATGACATTGAGGCCCGCATTGGGCTCTGCGCTGGGCATGGAGCCTGCTTAAGATTCTCCATCTCCCTCTCTCTTTACCCCTTCCCCCTCCTCAGAAATCAATCAACCAAACAAACAAAAAAACAAACAAACGAGCAACCCTGCTTTGCTGAAGTTTTGTGAGGTTGAAAGAAATACCATTAGGGAAAGTCCCAGGGCCGATGTCTGGTGCAGAATAGGTCCCGAATAAACACTGGCTTCCTTCCTCTTCTATAATGCCCACCTCCCTGAGGCCAGGATCCTGCCTGGTCACCTCTGTCCTTTGTACCCAGCGGTGGACCATTTTAGGCACTCAGTCAAATACTGAGGACAGGTCTCGCTTCACGATACTTCTGTGGACTGTTAGTGTAATGACTTACCCGCAAGGAAATCAAAGAAAGCCTGATACGTACTGGCAGGACAGATATAAGCATTTCCACATCACCCATGAGGCTGACCCACCTGTCTGGTTTGCCCAAGACTTTGCCAGTGTATCACCAAAAGACCCATATCTCCCAGGAAAACTCCTAAGTCTGGGCAGACGGGACAACTGGTCACCCTCTCACCACTTCCAGCTTAACGCACTGTCTGGCTTTCTCAGGCTCCTGGTCCCAGTTCCCATTGGTAACTTCTTGTTCCTGAAGGAAGGAGAGAGCAGAGAGAGGGAAGGATCAGAGAAGGGAGGGGAGAGGAAGGAGGGAGGGTAGTTTCTTTAGCCCCTTTCTAGGTGTGATGTCTAGGTCAGGCGCTGGCTGCCCCTTCCAGACATCCTCACCTTACCTGCCTTTGTCTCTCCGAGCACCAGTGCTCCCCCTGGAGTCCCAGATCAGGAGGTGTATCGTCCACGTTCTGTGCAGGGTCCCCACACCCCAGTTCTGCACAGGGGGACACGGATGGGGGCCAGATGTTTCCTGGGTGGGCAGTGGGTTCCTGTCACGGGAAGGGAACCCCAAATTATGAGGCTTGGAGTTTACACATGGCATCTGGCACATTGGCCCATCTTCCTCTCCGGAGAGACAGTAGATAGATAGATAGATAGATAGATAGATAGATACCTTTACTCTGGAAGATAAACAGATCTTCTCTAGGGAAGGGGGTGGGGGTATAAGCAAATCCCTCAGGAGCTGGTACCCTCTCTCTAGCTTCCAAAGCACGCTTGCTATTTGATAACCGTCGAACAAAGCTTGATCAGTGCCCAGACCACACAGCAACGTGAAAATATCCGTGGAGAATGATCTCCCCACAGAGAGGATAGTGCATTCGTGAAACAAAAATAATATGCCGTAAAAAAAGTTTGGAGAATAAGAAATCTTGTAAAGTGAAAATGCCAAGGCATAAAAACGTAAAAGGGATGAGAGAAAAAGATGAGGGTACCTTCTGCAAATCAGAACGCAATGGACAAAATGATGGGAAAAGAGAGAAAAGTTGTGCAAAGGGGATGAGTACATGAGGTTCAATATCCAACTCATTAAAGGGTTCCAGAAAACAGGGAAAGAAGAAAATGGAGCATAATTATCAAAGGGTTGATGCAGTTGCCAGAGCCGATGAGCGTGGGTCCACACCGGCAGGGGCTGGAGGGCACCCAGCACAGTAAATGAAGGCCGGCCCCATCCAGGGCGCCACCAGGGTGGGGTCTCTGGGTGTGAGGTCGTGTGGCAGGACTGGACAGTCCCCTGAGGGCTTGGCCGGTGCACTCCTTACAGAATTTAGAACCCAAATGGCCCTTCACCTTCCTCCTTCACAGCTCTGCATCCTCAGATTCTATTTCTGGAAGACCCCGAGGATCATCTGCCTCCCCTGCTTCCCAGTTTCCACCATCCTCCTGTCACCTCATCCCTTAGCTGGGCCCCAGGATCCCAGGTCCCACCTGTCCTTGGGGCTTCTTCTCACCCTGCCTCACCCACCCCTGCCTCCTCTCAGGCTCGCTTCCCAAGCCCAGAAGCAGCCAGGCTTTGGAAAGGCACCTTATCCCCACCCGTGGAGGGGCCCCCAGTGTCCGCCTCCCACCCCACGGCGGCTGAGAGCCCCACGTGACTGTCCAAGGCAGATGTTTCCTGCTCCCTGGGGAATGCTGTGTCAGTGGCCAGGCCAGCCGCAGAGCTGACATCTCCCTGACCCGCCATGGGCCCCAACCTGCTCATGCTGTTGCTGGTGGGACTGGCAGGTAAGGTGAAGCGGGTGGGCTCTGGGCCCCATGGGCTCTGCTTGGTGCCCAGGAATAATTGACATCAGGGTGGCACCAGCAGCATATATGTAGCGCCCTGAAGGGGGACCTCTAGGCCCCTGTGCCCCTGTGGCAAGTGGGTGGGCTGGAAAGTTCCCGGGGCTCCTGCCCCGCATAACCACATCCCTTCCTTCCCCAGGCCAGGCCTCCACCAGCTTCCCGGAGGTGCTGCAGGCCCCCGTAGGGGGCTCCATTCTGGTGCAGTGCCACTACCGGCTCCAGGACGTCAAGGCTCGGAAGGTGTGGTGCCGGTTCCTGCCCGATGGGTGCCAGGCCCTGGTGTCCTCGGCTGTGGATCGCGGAGCCCCGGCGGGCAGGCGCATGTTTCTCACGGACCTGGGGGGCGGCCTGCTCCAGGTGGAGATGATTACCCTGCGGGAGGAGGACACCGGCGAGTACGGCTGCGTGGTGGAGGGGGCGGCGGGGACCCAGACGTTGCACAGGGTGGCCCTGGTTGTGCTCCCTCCAGGTGAGTCATTCTAGGCTGGCCATTGCCCCTCCCCGCCCCCACCTGCTGCTCTCCGTCCTTGGGGAATGGGGACCCTTGGGGGCGGGGGAGGGGGGAAGGGGGCGGGGCGGGGAATTGGAAGGAGAGAGTTTTGACAGCACCCCGGGAGCGGAAGCAGAACTGGGTGAGCAGTCAGAGATAAACGAGCCAGACGGTGGGTCCCTTCCCCCTCCTGTTCTAGCGGGGGTTTCCCGGCTGAAAGGCATGTCCTCACCCATGGCCTTGGCCCGCCTCATCCCGCGTTTTCAACATACTTGATGCTTTTTTTTTTTTTTCCTTAGAAAGGTTTTAAACAAAGTTGTTTTTTTGTTTTTTTTTTAATTTTTAAAATGTTTATTTATTTTTGAGAGAGAGAGAGTGACAGAGCGTGAGCAGGGTCGAGAGGCAGAGAGAGAGGGAGACACGGAATCGGAAGCAGGCTCCGGGATCCGAGCTATCAGCGCAGAGCCGGACGCGAGGCTCAAACCCACAAACTGTGAGATCATGCTATGAGCCTAAGGCGGGCGCTTAACTGACTGAGCCACCCAGGCACCCCTTAAGCAAAGTTTTAATTTGGGCATTTATCAACTGGAATTTGTTGTGTTTGTTTGTTTTTTAATTTTTTTTTAACGTTTATTTATTTTTGGGACAGAGAGAGACGGAGCATGAATGGGGGAGGGGCAGAGAGAGAGGGAGACACAGAATCAGAAACAGGCTCCAGGCTCTGAGCCATCAGCCCAGAGCCTGACGCGGGGCTCGAACTCACGGACCGCGAGATCGTGACCTGAGCTGAAGTCGGACGCTCAACCGACTGAGCCACCCAGGCGCCCCTGGAATTTGTTTTTTAAATCTCCCAGTTTATTACTCCCGCTCTAATGGGTTTGATGGCTTAAAATGACTGAATTCGGATTTTATTGAAATTTATGTCTTCACTGAGCATCTAGGATGCGCCTCACCTACACGCAGGCGCATTCGGTACCTGGATTACTTCAACTCCTTTAGTTTTACCCATGAGAAAAGTATCGCTCCTGGTCCCTCCAGGGTTGTCAACCCCTATCCTCGGGAGAGAAAGTACTTTTATATTGGCTGTGGTTTTCTCTCCCAGCCGACAACTTTCTAACGTCTAAGCATTTATTAAAAGAAAATTTTAAAGTAGGAGAAAGAATTTTCCAGAGAAATTGGATGTCGTAAAACAAAAACAATGTTTTGGAGGGAAAACGGCCAGCTTCCTGCCGAAATGGAGCCTGCTCTACCTTTCTCTTAGGAATGATGTCTTTTTCGCCTTCACGGCTTCCTTTCTCAAGTAATTTGCGCCCAAGCCCCAAATAAGGAAATGAAGAAAGGCACTTTCCCTGCTCGTGGTTTTTTTCCCCACTTGTTACTTATGAGGACGGACTAAGGTATCCTTAGAATCCCTCTCATCTCCGGTCCATGATTATTACTTTACATTGTAAAGTGTGCATTGTAAAGGACTGTTGGTCCTAGTCTTCTCCTGTCCTCCTCCTTCCTTGGCACCGTAAGGTCTGGTAACTCGAGCCTGTAGGACAAGATGCACTGGGGAGAGGAGCAGGTGCTGGGGACCCGACAGCTGTAGCGTGTGGATGCTCAGGGCTGGCTGGTGGAGCATGGCTTTCAGGGAGGGTGTGGGTGGCTTAAATGGCACTAGGTGGGCAGGACGCATGCAGGAAGATGGGAGACACAGCATCTCCAGATCCTGGTTTGGCTTGGTGGGGGGGTGGGGATGGTGAACCTCTGAGAAGAAGGAAGACCACACCTGCTGAGAGTCTAGAAGGACTGGCCAGGTTCCCAAGACAGATGGTCCGGCCCAGAGAAACCAGGCCTGAGTCTGACAGCCAGAGAGGTTGAGCACAGTGGTGTAGGGACAGTAGAAGCCTTGTCACAAAACTGAGTCTGGGGGTCCGAGTGAGGCTCTCAGCAAGGGTCCCTTGGCATTGTGTCACATTAGGGGTGACCCTAGAGTTCCTTAGATCCTGAGGGCAGAGCTTGGGTTGCCCCCCTCCCCCGCCCCCGGCTTGCAGGGGGTCACACAGTTGCAGGTAGGTAGAGAAGTCTAGCGGGCTCTGCCCCTTTAGAGACCTGTGGATGAGCGACAGGAGCAGGGTTGTCACTGTGGGATAAGAGTGGAGAGCCTATGCTGCGGTGGGGGTGCGGAGGTGGGCGCAGATTACCCAGTGTGTGGTTCCGCATAGGCTGAGCAGCCCGAGAGGCCAGGGAGAGGCCAGCAGGTGAAGAAGGAAAGTAGGGGCAACAGTTGGTGGTGGAGGGGAAAGAGGGCCCCATCACAATCGGGTAAAGACAGAAAGAATCCACCTCTGATCTCCAGAACGAGGGCCCCTAAGGAATATGCCAAGCCCCCATTTGTGTTTCTTGCTTGGAACCTCTCCTTCCTTAGCCCCACTCCCCCAGTCCCTCGGACCTCAACAGGCCCGCGACCCTATCCACACTGGGTATGTGCTCATGACTGTTTCCTTCTGACTCAGCTCCTACCCCGAAAGAGGAGGAAGAGAACTATAAGGTTGGAAGTCTGGCTGACGGCCCCTTCTCAGACACCATGGGCAGTGCCAGCCCTTTGGAACCCAGCCAGGATGAGAAGAGGTACTGAGAAGAGCTGTATTCGGGGTCCGGGAAAAGGCTGGTGGTGGGAAAGGGTGGGAAAGGCTTATTCAGAGCCCCAGGCTAACTCAAAGGGAAACCTCACGGTTCCTTCCACCTCTGGAGAACTTCCGATCAGGCAGGAGGTCAGGCAGACCCTCCTGTCCCACCTCCCCCCACCCCCCACAGTTCAGCAACGGCCCCTTTATGCCCGCGGGTCGCCAGCCAGGATAACCTGAAAATGTGTTTCTCTTCCGCTCTGCCTATGTCTGCCCTCCTAAGTCCACCCCCCAAATCCTCTTCTCCCAACCATGGCTCACCGAGAATTGCACCTTTCTGCTACCGCTCCGGGGCTCCTGGTGAGCAGCTTCCTGCCAAGTTCAGGCTTAAGCTCCCCTATCCCTTTGTATCCTTCAGCATCCCCTTGATCTGGGGCGCTGCGCTCCTGCTGGGCTTGCTGGTGGCAGCAGCTGTGCTATTCGCTGTGATGGCCAAAAGGAAAGGTAGGTAGCAGTCTACCTGCACACCCCAGCACAGCCCCTGCTGGTCCTGAACCAGCCAGTCTTGTAGACAGTGTCGGAGTCTAGTTCTGCTTCCCCTATAGACGGGCTTGTCTGGGCTTTAGGGAGGCCCCCAGACCCTAGAAGTCCCCAGTTGAGGGGTGGATGGGAGGAAAGAGACTCAGTGAGAGCCAGCCTGGGGACAGACAGGAATTGGACAGGGTGGACCAGTGGAATAGAGACAGGTGACTGGAGATGGTGGGGGAAGGGTCTCAGGAGACGGGCTGAATGTTGAGGTGGGTTGGAGGAAGCTGGAAGCAGTAAGTGGGTGGGTGGGGTCTCCTGGCAGGCCGGGGTGTAGCTGGTGTCTGGTGGGAGTAGACTGGAGACTCTGGACTAGGAAAGAGGCTTCTGAAGGGAGTGAGGAATGGGCACTGAGCCAATACAGGAAGCAGACTGTGCTGCCATCCTCTGTCCTCCCAGGGACCAGGCTTGGTGTCTGTGGCCAATCTCAGAGCAGCAGAGTTTCAGGCAAGGTAAGAGGCATCTGTGGGCCCCCAGCCAAATTCCGCAGACCTTCCGTCTGCGCGGCTCGCTGAGAGGTCCCAGGATGAGGGGGTGGTGAAAGACTGGGACCCAGTCAGAGCCCAAACCCTCTTCCTTAATGCTGTGAACTTGGCGCCAGTGGTCTTCTGCCTTCCTACCTTGGTATTTCACCCTCTCAGATTTGGGGAGAAACTTGGGGCTTGAAAATCTTCAAAGTGAAGCCTTCTTGCCCACTGACATCCTCAGGATTTGAGAGACAGATCCAGTGTGGTCCTGGACTTCCCCGCAGAGGGAACTGGGGCAGAAGAAGGCATACTCTCTGCCTCATTTGTCTGCTTTTGTTACAGGCCTCCTCCTCAGTGGTCCACCACATCAGTGACTCTGGCCTCGGAGTTGATTTTCCATCGGACATACCGTATGCTAGGCTCGACTCGCCACCTTCCTTTGACAATACCACCTATAGCAGCCTACCTTTTGATCCCCCATCAGAGGACTCTCCATCCCCAGCCCAATCCTCATCGCCCCCTCTGCCTCCTAAAGTCCTGATGTACTCTAAGCCTGTGACATATGCCACAGTTATCTTTCCTGGAAGGGACAAGGGTGGAGAGGCCACCTGTGAGCCAACCCAAGATCCACTGACTAGCCAAACACCACCCAGCTAAGCTGTTCATCATACTATTTACCACAGAGACCATCCCCAGAGTTCTATGCATCCAGCCAGCCAGCCCATACCCTAGATCCTTAGTATATCAGAACAGCTAGGGACTTTAGGATCTAATCTAACCTCTTGACTTTTCTGATGTGTAAAGTGATACTTATATGTGATTGAGGTATCCTAGGAACGAACCCCCCATGCTGGTTCCTCTGCCCTTAAACCACTGAGCTAAATAAACTCTGAATGATAATATATGAGCTCTTGATAGTTGACGGGGAAAGAAAGGGCCTGAGTTTGACTATTCACATGGCCTGGGAACTCTAAAGATTCTAGTCCAGAGTTTGTGCTATGATTTCCTGCCTGTCCTGCCAGTGAGGGCATGGTTTCATTCCTGGTCAGAATTCTGGGATGCAGTCTGATTCAAGGGACACCAAGAAGGCATCTTCGAATGTATTTCCTGCCTTTCTCAAGATACCTGAAAGTACAGATCCATTAGCTTGAGTCTAGAAATCTCTTCTGCCTTCTGCTCTGCACCTTGTAAACAAGTGGTACCTTATGACGTGATGACATAAGATGGAAGGAAGGGGATAATGATAAATTAAGACTCAGGACAGATGGGGTGGGAAAGATGGAGCTGAGGAGTAAGATCAGAAACTGAAATACATTCCAAGCCTGTTCCTTGGCAGCACAAAGGATTTCCAAGCACCAGGAGATAAGAGACCTTTGCAGACATGTTTTATCAGAGCTGGCTCTCTCTCAGCTGGGTGGACATCTGGTAGCACTGTTCCCTTTGGCCTGAAATTTGGGGCCTGGGAAGAGCCTGGTGGAGAAAAAGCATGGCATGGGAAGAAGGGGAATGAGTGGTAAAGGTGTGGCTGTTGTTAAGTGTACATGAAAACTAGTCCAGGCTGGGAGTGGAAGGGCCTTTAAGGTCTCTGCCAGGATTTCTTCTGAAACTGTTCAATTTGGAAATATTTGCCCATATTGAGATGAGAGACAGGTGGGGAGGATGAGATTTGCTTGGGAACCAAATCTTCTTATAATCATGGAGAGCTAGACATAAAGAGGTTGTCACCATCGGAGGGGCCCGGAATTCGGTATAGGTACCTGAGGAGAGGGGACAGGCAGGGCCTGGCTCCAGCTGAGGAAGTCTAGTGATGCTATTTTCAGGGAGCTCTGGCAGGATATTTGGAGCTTCCCCTGATAGTCTCAGCCTGTGACAGAACCTAAATTTACTTCCATCCCTTGTGGAGGCAGCAGCTGCCCACCAATCAACTAAGCCCTCACTTTCCCTGGATAAGATGCTGGTGGGGGCGGGGGGGGGGGGTTGCTTGCTGTGGAGGAGGGCTGGTCACGGTGGGGAGAGAATATAGGGGCAGGTCAGGATAAAGTCTAAAAAGAAGGCTTGTGGGAAAAATCCTGATCTGAACATAGTGTGAACTTTTTGGAGCCTGACAGAAGTAAATGTATATTTAACAACACAAGGGAAAATACTAAGATCCATTGGCTGGTAGAGAAAACAGAGGAGAAGGGGAAATATATGAATTCCATCATTGCTTATGGTAGAAGTCTATGAATACCAACCCAAATCTCCTTTATAAAAGTAACTTCTGAGATGAAAATACGGATCTTCTATATTTTATCGTAAGAAACACATGAAAACAAAGAAAATGCAGGTGACATGACCAGCCCATTGCTTCATATCAGAAACCTTTGGAATGCAACTAAAGGAGTTCTCAGAGGAAAAGCCATAGCCTCAACAATAAGAACCAAGCATCTTACTCAAATTGCTAGTTCATTTTAAAGGAGAAAAGTTATATAACTAATACACAAATAAAAGAGCTTATTCTTCGCAATGAAATATAAGAGACACTGTTAGCTAACTTACTCAAAAAGAAGGATGAAATATGAAATGACAAGGGGGAAATAATCACAGATATAAAGACAAAGAAAAAAAATGAGAATATTTTGTGCTACTGGTGGTGGTTAGGGTGGGAGGAATGAATATAGAGAAAGCCTGAAATAATTTTTTGGGGTGACTGAAATGTTCTCTGTTACGACTGTGGTAGTGGTCACATGGGTGTATATATTTGTCAAAAGCTACCATTAAAATAGGTGCACTTTCTTTTATATAAATTATGTTTTGATGAAGTTAATTAAAAAAAATACTTGAAAGACCACTGGGGAATATTTAAAATAATCTTAGAGAAGAAAACGCTCTTTATTACACAAAACTCAGAAGCCATAATAAATTCATAGATACTTTAAAACTGACACATTAAAATAAATTAAGACTGATATCTTTTTCTTCATGACAAAAGCACAATACACAAAGACAAAACACAAAATGAAGAAAAATTCTGCAACTCATACAAAGGCAGAAATCTCATTTCTTGAACACTTATAAATCAATTGAAATAATAGGTTATGGTCACAGGATATATACATATAGCTCACTAAAAAAAGGGAATATAAACAATAAAGATGTTTAACTTCATTGAAGGGAAATGCAATTTTAAAGTACATTGAGAATGATTTAAAAGAAAATGGTTTAAGAACTCAGAAAATTCTCTCTTCCATAAAAGCAACAAGAAAACTGGCAAAAATAGTCAGAATCAACCTTGTTAGAGCTCTGGAAACCAATGCCTGCACCAACCCAAGGAGTCTATCCTTATGAAAATTGGCTTTTTCCACATCGTATCTGATTCAAAACACAACTTCATAATGCAATACTTACACATCTGTGTTGATAGGTACACCATTTATTAAGATGTAATTTTATAACACTTATGATTTGTAAGAGTGGGGAGGGAATGGGGCTATATAGGAGCAAAGTCTTGTATATTGTTGAAATTAAGTTGGTATACATGTAAACTAGATTGTTTTAAATTAAAATGCTAATTATAATCCCTAGAGCAAGGAAAAAACCTCAAAAACATAGTAAAAGAATGACAAGGGAATTAAAATGAAATTAAAATTATGTATTTAATATAACAGAAGACAGCAGAGGAAGAGAGGGGCAACAAGATATAAGACAGGTAGAAAACAAATAATAAGATGGAAGACATAAATCCTATTTTATCAGTAGTTACATGGAATGTAAATAGATTAAACACTCCAATTAAAAGCCAGAGATTGACAGAATGTATTAAAAAACACATGATCCAACTATATGCTTCCTAAGAGACAAATTTTGGATTCAAAAACATGAGTAGGTTCAAAGTAAAAGGATGGAAAAACATGTACCATGCAAACTAGCTAAAGAGAGGTGGAGTGACTATATTAATGAAGACAAAAGAACATTTTATAATGATAAAAAAGTCAACCCATCAAGAAGATATAACAATTATAAATACATATGAACCTAATAATAGCATTTCAAAAGACATAAAGCAAAACTGACAGAACTAAAAGTAATAAGTTGTAGATTAAATAGTAATAGTTGTAGATTTCAGTATCACACTTTCAACCACCGATAGAACAAGGTAGGTAGGTGGAAGATTGGCAAGGAAATAGACATGAACAATACCATAAAAAAACTAGACTTAACAGACATCTGTAGAACACTCCACCCAACTACTGGAAAATACAATATACATTCTTCCAAGTATACATACAACATTCTCCAGTATAGACCATATATCTGACCATAAACAAGTTCTTGATACATTTAAAAGGATTGAAATCATACAAAGTATGCTTTCAGACTACAATGGAATGAAATTAGAAAGAAATTACAGAAGTAAATTTTGGAAACTCACAAATATGTGGAAATTAACACACTTCTAAATGACAAATGGGTCAAAGAAGAAATCACAAGAGAAATGATAAATTCTTTAAGATGAGTGAATACAAAACATGATATAACAAAACTTAGGGGAATCAGCAAAACCAGTTCTTGGAGGGAAATTTATGGCTGGAGGTTAACCCCTATTTAAAAAAAGAAGAAAGATCTCAAATCAGCAACCTAACTTTCTACCTGAAGAAACTAGAAACAGAAGAGAAAATTAAGCCCAAGGTGAGCAGAAGGAAGGAAATAATAAAGATCAGAGTATAAATGAATGAAATGGAGAACAGAAAAAGAAAAAAATCAACAAAATCAGGTGTTGTTTCTCTAAAAAGATCAAAATTGACAAATCTTAGCTAAAGTTACTTTCTTAGCCAAAAAAACAAAAAACAAAACCAAAAACAAAGAGAAGCCTCAAATTACTAAATAAGGAATGAAATTGGAGGGAGAACTACTGACTTTATGAGCTTAGAAGGATTATAAAAGGAAAATTGTGGACAATTGTATATCATCAAAATAGATAACCTAGACGAAATGGACAAATTCCGAGAAAGACACAAACCACTGAAAATGACTCAAGATTAAATCTCAATATATCTATAACAAATAAAGAGGTTTAAATCATAGTCAAAAAGCTTCCCACGAAGAGAAGCCCAGGCTCAGATGGTTTTACTGGTGAACTCTACCAAACATTGAATGAGTTTTAAAACCAATCCTTCACAAACCTTTCCAAAAAATAGAAGGAACACTTCTTAACTCATTTTATGAGTAAAATCACCAATTTTACCTTGATGCAAAAGCCAAACAAAGAGATCATAAGAGAACTACTGGCCAACATCTCCTATGAATGTAGATGCAAAAATCCTCAACAAAATACTAGTAAATAGGCCCCAGCAACAAAGAAAGGATTGTACCCTGTGACAAGATGGGATTTATATCAGGAATGCAAGATTGGTTCCATACATGAGAATCAATGATATACCATATTAATAGAAAAAAAGGACCAAAATCACAGGATTCTTTCAACAGATGACAGAAAAAGCATTTGACAAAATCCAACACCCTATCATGATACAAATGTTCAACAAACTAGGAAGAGCAGAGAATTTCTTCAATCTGGTAAAGGGCATCTACAAACAAACAAAAAAACAAACAAAACCCAAAAAACTCACAGCTAACATCATACTTAAAGGTGAAAAACTGAAAGCTTTGCCCCTAAGATTGAGAAGACAAAGATGTCCACTCTTGCCCCTTTCACTCAATACTATACTTTGGTTCTAAGGAGTATAATTAGGCAAGAGAAAGAAATAAAAAGGAAAGGGAGAAATATTGGAAAGGAAGAAGTAAAATGATTTCTATTTGCAGATGATATGATCTTATATATACAAAATCCTAAGGAATCCACACAAAAAAACAATAGATCTAATAGATGAGTTCAGCAGTTTCAGGATACAAAATCAATAAA